CCCCCCCGCCCCTCCCTTACTCTCTCTCTAAAATCAATAAAAACGTATCCTGGGGTAAGGATTAATAAAAAGATATATGAAATAAGGAGCCAGGTACAGCTAAGGGCACCTGTTCATTTATAGTTAATTTACAAAACACAAATGTTTACCTTGAAACAAAGACTAGAAACGTCTTGTCTCTCCATTCCAAAGAGACTGGTCTCTATGGGGTCCTGAAGCCTTAAAGCAGCGGGCAGAGGCAGGGATGCTACCAAACACCCTCAAATGCACAGCACAGTCCCCACAACAAACAGCTCTCTGGGCCAAAATGTCAACAGCGCCAACTGAGAAACCCTGCCTGCTGGACGAAGCCTCATGAGAGGGCGCCTGTCCTCACCCAGGGACACCAGGTTCCAGAAGTTCTCCAGCATCACGTCTCGGTACAGCTTCCTCTGGGACGGGTCCAGCAGCCCCAGCTCCTCCTCGGTGAAGACCACAGCCACGTCCTTGAAGGTCACCGCCTCCTACGACACCAAACACAGGCACCTCAATCTCCCGGCTGGGAGGGGGCAGCACCGGGAGGCAGAGACACACAGGGAGCCGTTCCCAACTCTCAGGGACCCTGACGGCTCATGTTAGTAGATTTTCCCTTCTTCCCATTTCACAATCACACCATTGGAGGTGGGGGGAGAACCAAGAGAAACATGAAAGAGTCTTGTGCACATTTAACACGGCGCCCTCTGTGGAGTTAAAGCCTCTGGAGCCCCGGCTCAGCTGGTCAGAGCGTCGTCCCAATAAACCAGGGCTGTGGGTTCAATCCCCGGGCAGGGCACACACACAACCCACCAATGATGCGGGAGGGAGCGAGCAGCAAATCCCTTTTCCCCCTCAAACCCACCCATCACTCAGGCCTCCAGAGTGGTCGCTGTCAAATCATGGCACACACGCTTCAGTTGACTGACAGTGCCACCCACATACTGTAAGAAATTGAGCTAATTGAGAGCCACAGCACCTAACGGGCCTCCCTCCTCTCCCCAGGTGGCGCCGCTGTTCTGTCCAGGCTGCCAGCCCTGCGGCCTTCGGGCCCTGGAGCCTGCATGCCGCGCGCTGTCCTGGGGAAGCGCTGCGTGTCCCTCGAGCAGCTTTCAGGGGCCCGGCTGACAGCACAGGCTCTGCAGACGAACCGCCTCAGGTCACCTCTAGGGCTCCGTCCATTACTAGCTTTGTCCCCTTGGACAAGTCACCCAAATTCTCAAGTATCATCCTGATGCACCAAGGTTGTGAGTCTGACCCCTGGTCGGGGCACATACAAGAATCAACAGTGATGCATAAATAAGTGGAGCAACAAATCGATGTTTCTCTCTCTCCCCCACCCCCTTCGCTAAAATCAATCAATTTAAAAAAATGCGAGCAAGGGCGCGTATATCCTGGAATATAGGCCTGGCAAGTCCCTGGTGCTACTAGACCAAGGATGTAGTTCTTTAAAATATACTAACATGCCAATGAAAAAAATGGAAACTTAACTATAATACATACATCATTTAACTTAGAATTAAGGAAAGAATCCAGCTCTTCTTGCTTGAAAACAACTAAAATTCTTTTCTCTGAGTTCAGTATCAGCTGGCCTCGCTTGCACCAAGCCGTACTTTAGACATTTTCACAAAATGTGAGGCACCATCATCACAAAACGGAATCTCTACAACTTTAAGGAGAGAGAAAAAAAGGTAGAATTCGCCCAGTGGGGGTTATTTTTAAAAATACCTATTAATTTTCGCACTGTTACTTGGAAATAAGCAAAAAGCAAGAGCCAGGCATACAACAATTTGTCAAGTGCCTTTGGCTCCCCTTTACCCTTCCCAAGCAGGACAAATATGTGTCCAGCCTTCGTGAAATAAAACGTCATTTTAAGCACCAAGGAGGCAGAGGCAGCTTACCTGGAACTGGATCATTTCTCTCCTCTTCCCTTCGGAGAAAGGCAGCGTTCTGGGGGGCAGAGCTGGGGAGGGAAAGACATCATGAGGGACGCTGGCCATGCTGCCGGCGCACGTGGCATTTCAGGGGAGCACAGAGCGGGCCCCTCTCTCTGGGCAGAGGCACCAAAGCTCAGCGAGAACAGGGGCTGGACTCCAGCTTCCCCGGGGCCCCCAGCCAGCTGCCATTGTTCATCAACATTCCTTAAACAGCCCTAACCCAAGGGCCTCTTGTAGCTTCCAGAGTATTCCTGAGCCTGGTCCTGGAGGAAATGAAAGGCAAGCAGGCAGGCAGTATAACTGAATGGGGCCCAAATGCCTGGGTTCAAATTCTGCCACTTCTACTTACAGTATTACTTTCTACTCATCAGTAGTGCAAACCCTGAGCAAGTCACTCACCTCTCTGTGCCTACTTCCTGTCACCTGTAAAGGGGACTGATGCCCGCATTCCCTATTTCCTGCAGCTAAAGACAAGCAGTAGTTTGGGGTTCATAAAACTGCCCTTGAGAATGTGATTCTCCAGAAAATCCCTCTTTTCAGAAACCCAGAATTCAGAGAAGACTGTTCTGTCCTGTGAGTTATTGTTACCCTTGGAAAAACCTAATTGACTGGTTGACTCACCGTCATTTCTTCTGTTAGTAATGAGAGTTAAACCTCCATGGGTTTTGTCCTCCTAACAGGTGTAATTACTTCCAAATATCATTAAGCTGGAAGAGTCTCGAGAAAGTTTCTTCTCCCATATGCAAGAGGCTAAATAATGACTAATAAAGGCCTAAGCCTAATAAATCCTGTTGCATTGAAATCCACAACACCGGCTCACACTGTGAGGACCCAGCAAGACAGAGGGAGGCCCCTAGGTCCTGGGGCAGGACAAAAGGCATACGTGAGTGACTTAGTAAACTGCAGAGGGTGGAGGCAGTTCCAGGAATTAACTTAAATTGGTGGGTTTGACAAATACCAGGTGCACTCCAGCTTCAGGGGCCTGTGGTTGAGAAACATCCTGAGCCCACCCTTCCTAAGGAATTTATAACCCTTGTAAGGACAATGATTGCTTGCTCACTGTAACCCCATATAAGCTTGTTGTAAATTTAGATCAGGGTTCCAGTCAGAATTCCACAGAGTTGGAAACGACTGAACCCCAGCTAGCTGGAATAAAAGTCCCTTTTGCTGTTACATTATCAGCTCTGGAGTGATTGTCTTCCCGCCGCATAGGGGATCTGATTCTCGGACATAACAACACAATATTGCACACTTATTAAGGCCTCACTACACGTGTGGTCAGGCACTCTGCAAAGCCCAGACCACGGCTGTCTGTGTGGCNGGGCTCAGACAATATTGCACACTTATTAAGGCCTCACTACACGTGTGGTCAGGCACTCTGCAAAGCCGAGACCACGGCTGTCTGTGTGGCCGGGAAAATGCACCACCGACTTGCCCCAGGATCCGGCTNCGGACATAACAACACAATATTGCACACTTATTAAGGCCTCACTACACGTGTGGTCAGGCACTCTGCAAAGCCCAGACCACGGCTGTCTGTGTGGCCGGGAAAATGCACCACCGACTTGCCCCAGGATCCGGCTGCACTTCACGCTCCTTCCTCAACAAGGGGCCAGGACGGTCCCGGTGCGGCAGCCGCCGCGCACAGCCAGCCAGCGACCGGCGGCTCCGGCCCCATCGCGGGCTCNCAGACCACGGCTGTCTGTGTGGCCGGGAAAATGCACCGCGGACTTGCCCCAGGATCCGGCTGCACTTCACGCTCCTTCCTCAACAGGCACCAGGACGGTCCCGGTGCGGCCGCGGCCGCGCACAGCCAGCCAGCGACCGGCGGCTCCGGCCCCATCGCGGGCTCCCGGGCGCTTCCGAGCAGCAGCGTGTGCGCTGAACAGCCTGCATTCTGCTGGGCACTGGGCACTGGGCACTGTTTTGAAGCTTCGTATATACAACCCACTTAAGCCCCACTTAAGCCCCTGGGAAAAAGGAACCCTGTTTTGCCTCGAGGAAACTGAGGCACGGAGAGATCAAGGAACTCGCCCCATATTTAACCGCAAGAAAGAGGCACCGCTGGCTGGTGGGTCCTACAGGGTGGACCTTGGATGAGCCGAGAGAGCGGGAGACCCTCAAACTCCGAGCACCCCGCAAGCCCGCCCCCGACTCGGGAGGCTCGCCGCCGCCTCCTTGTCCGCCCTCTGCCGCTGGCCGCCGCTTTCCTTACCCAAGAGGAGGGACCAAGTCACTGCTCAGCCCACGCCGAGGCGAAGAAGGTCCCGAGGGATCGCCAGGACGCGGGGTTAACTCACCGAACTGCGAAGAACCTCAACCCCAACCTCGCCTCCCGACAGCGGAAGTGCCTCGCACTACACACGGTTCCTGAACTACACTTCCCAGAATCCCCAAGAGGAAGCGCCTGGTTTCCACGCACTCCTGTACTCCATTTCCCAGAATGCAGCTCGCGCGCTTCCCGTCAGTGGGCGCGAGTTTTGAGTAGAGATTGTTCGCTCCGAGTCACTCCTCAGGCGCCACTAACTGTCAGGTTCGCTTGATTCATTTCTCAAAGCTTACGAGAAAGTAATCGCGGGTTTTTAAAAAATGCGGCCGTGCTAGAGGGATAAGCGAAGCCTCTACCATAAAAGCAACTTTAAAAACAAATGTTTTAGGGGAAGCAGAAAGTAGGCTAAAAATGTGTGATTTTGTCTGAGTTGCTTAGACAGAACTTAAAGAACGCTGGATCTCAAACTTGTTTCAAGCGCCGGCTCCAAACATCACCAGTACGCCCGTTGGTAAGATGAAACGAACTTGACTGCTTATCATGTCCTTGCCATGGAAAAGGAGGCCGCCACTGGAGCGGCCCTTCGGCACCTTGACAGCACAGCGGCAGAGCCCGGAAGGCGAGGTTGCAGCTCACTGGGAAAGAATTCCAAGATTGGTTTAAGCAGGTCTTCCAATGCGAGGGACTTAGAAAGGCCATGGGTTAGTGGGAACAAGAAGGCTTTTTGTAGCCAAGGAATCTTTAGGTGCAGACTGTTGATTCTTTGGGAGAGACTGAAGCGTTGATGGGTGTTGGTGGAAGTTCCTGGAATAAACAATCTAGCTGTTTGCTTCGGCAGGAATCACACGGAATCCGAAAGACTGGGTAAGGACAACTGAATACTTAGGCTAATGTAGACAGTAAGCCCTGGGAGGGTAAGTATGTCGGAACCTCAGTCTTCAGGGGCCAAGCTCTGCAAGCTCCGAGGGGAGGAAAGGACAGTGGGGGTGGGGGTGCAGAACAGTGTTTAATTCCTTTGCCTCCTCTAACCCAAAGGCACCTAAGATTTCTTGACGTGTTTTGTTGAATGGAATTCTTCATTCCAATTTGCTAAGAATTCACAAAATGACAATACAAACATTGAGAAGGCTATAATAGAGAAATATCTTGAACTTCGTTGTTTGTTTTTTTAAAATATTAGTTGTTATGGCAAACAAAAACAGCTCCATTACAGGTAATTTAAGAAAATACTGTGATGTATGCATATATAATATCCTGAAATGTTTTCTAATTTGGGTTCGGCTTTAGACATTTCATGACATACTTCTATTCTGCTCCTGATATATATAAAATAAAGTGCCTTGAGATGAAATAAGCCAAGTGAAACCAGGAAGCCATGATTTTTCTCTTAGGAAGGAAATGTATTTTGTAGCTTTTTATTATAAAACTTCAAAAATCGACAAAAGGAAGGAGAATAGTTAAATGGACNGGAAACGTAAAGGTAATTTTGTCCGAGTTGCTTAAACAGAACTTAAAGAACGCTGGATCTCAAACTTGTTTCAAGCGCCGGCTCCAAACATCACCAGTACGCCCGTTGGTAAGATGAAACGAACTTGACTGCTTATCATGTCCTTGCCATGGAAAAGGAGGCCGCCACTGGAGCGGCCCTTCGGCACCTTGACAGCACAGCGGCAGAGCCCGGAAGGCGAGGTTGCAGCTCACTGGGAAAGAATTCCAAGATTGGTTTAAGCAGGTCTTCCAATGCGAGGGACTTAGAAAGGCCATGGGTTAGTGGGAACAAGAAGGCTTTTTGTAGCCAAGGAATCTTTAGGTGCAGACTGTTGATTCTTTGGGAGAGACTGAAGCGTTGATGGGTGTTGGTGGAAGTTCCTGGAATAAACAATCTAGCTGTTTGCTTCGGCAGGAATCACACGGAATCCGAAAGACTGGGTAAGGACAACTGAATACTTAGGCTAATGTAGACAGTAAGCCCTGGGAGGGTAAGTATGTCGGAACCTCAGTCTTCAGGGGCCAAGCTCTGCAAGCTCCGAGGGGAGGAAAGGACAGTGGGGGTGGGGGTGCAGAACAGTGTTTAATTCCTTTGCCTCCTCTAACCCAAAGGCACCTAAGATTTCTTGACGTGTTTTGTTGAATGGAATTCTTCATTCCAATTTGCTAAGAATTCACAAAATGACAATACAAACATTGAGAAGGCTATAATAGAGAAATATCTTGAACTTCGTTGTTTGTTTTTTTAAAATATTAGTTGTTATGGCAAACAAAAACAGCTCCATTACAGGTAATTTAAGAAAATACTGTGATGTATGCATATATAATATCCTGAAATGTTTTCTAATTTGGGTTCGGCTTTAGACATTTCATGACATACTTCTATTCTGCTCCTGATATATATAAAATAAAGTGCCTTGAGATGAAATAAGCCAAGTGAAACCAGGAAGCCATGATTTTTCTCTTAGGAAGGAAATGTATTTTGTAGCTTTTTATTATAAAACTTCAAAAATCGACAAAAGGAAGGAGAATAGTTAAATGGACCCGATATACTCGTATCCCAAATTCAAGTTGACACCTTTTACCATTTATCTATCACTATTTTTTTATTTTACAGTACAGTTTTATTTTTATTTTTTAATCCTCACCAGATGATATTTGGGTGAGAAGTCNCAAACATCACCAGTACGCCCGTTGGTAAGATGAAACGAACTTGACTGCTTATCATGTCCTTGCCATGGAAAAGGAGGCCGCCACTGGAGCGGCCCTTCGGCACCTTGACAGCACAGCGGCAGAGCCCGGAAGGCGAGGTTGCAGCTCACTGGGAAAGAATTCCAAGATTGGTTTAAGCAGGTCTTCCAATGCGAGGGACTTAGAAAGGCCATGGGTTAGTGGGAACAAGAAGGCTTTTTGTAGCCAAGGAATCTTTAGGTGCAGACTGTTGATTCTTTGGGAGAGACTGAAGCGTTGATGGGTGTTGGTGGAAGTTCCTGGAATAAACAATCTAGCTGTTTNATTCTTTGGGAGAGACTGAAGAGTTGATGGGTGTTGGTGGAAGTTCCTGGAATAAACAATCTAGCTGTTCGCTTGGGCAGGAATCACACGGAATCCGAAAGACTTGGTAACAACTGAATACTTAGGCTAATGTAGTAAGCCCTGGGAGGGTAAGTATGTCGGAGCCTCAGTCTTCAGGCCCCAAGCTTTGCAAGCTCCGAGGGGAGGAAAGGACAGTGGGGGGTGGGGGTGCAGAACAGTGTTTAATTCCTTTGCGTCCTCTAACCCAAAGGCACCTAAGATTTCTTGACGTGTTTTGTTGAATGAAATTCTTCATTCCAATATGCTAAGAATTCACAAAATGACAATACAAACATTGAGAAGGCTATAATAGAGAAATATCTTGAACTTCGTTGTTTTTTTAAAATATTAGTTGTTATGGCCAACAAAAACAGCCCCATTGCAGGTAATTTAAGAAAATACTGTGATGTATGCATATATAATATCCTGAAATGTTTTCTAATTTGGGTTCGGCTTTAGACATTTCATGACATACTTCTATTCTGCTCCTGATATATATAAAATAAAGTGCCTTGAGATGAAATAAGCCAAGTGAAACCAGGAAGCCATGATTTTTCTCTTAGGAAGGAAATGTATTTTGTAGCTTTTTATTATAAAACTTCNAGAAGCCATGATTTTTCTCCTAGGAAGGAAATGTATTTTGTAGCTTTTTATTATAAAAGTTCAAAAATTGACAAAAGGAGAATAGTTAAATAGACCCGATATACTTGTATCCCAAATTCAAGTTGACACTTTTTACCATTTATCTATCACTATTTTTTTATTTTATAGTACAATTTTATTTTTATTTTTTAATCCTCACCAGATGATATTTGGGTGAGAAGTCTGATCTTTTCCTCACCTCTGTTCTATGCATGCAATGTGTTGTTTNCTGATCTTTTCCTCACCTTTGTTCTATGCATGCAATGTGTTGTTTTCTGTCCGCCTTCAATGTTTCCTCTGTGTTGTTCATTCTCAGCTGTTTGGCAATAACGTGTATAGTTTTTTGGCTTTTCATTTTTAAATCTTGCTTGGGTACTCTGAGGTTCCTGATTTAGGGGAGGTCTTTTATTGCTTTTGGAAAATTCTCAGCCATTCTCTCTTCAACTAGGTTTTTTCTCATTCTCTCCACTCTCCCTCTGTGTTTCCAATTACACATATATTAGACCATAAAAAGTTCTCCCACAGTTCTTGGATACTATATTTTCTTCACACATTTTGTATTTTATTTATTGCTTTTTCAGAAAGAGTAAAGGGAGGTGTGGGGGAGAGAGAGAGAAACATCAATTGGTTGCCTCCCAAATGCATCCTACTGGGGCCAGGGATGAAACCTGCAGCCAAGATATGTACCCTGACTGGAATCAAACCCGCAACCTTCTGGTGCGTGGGACGACGCTCTAATTTATTGAGCGACACCAACTGGACAATTGGTTGCTTCTTGTATGCACCCTGAGGACTGAACCCACAACCATGGCTTATGGGGACAATGCTCTAACCAACTGAGCTATCTGGCCAGGGTGCATAATTGACATTTTGACATATATTGTATGACTAACTCTTCTCTAACAAGCTTATACTTTTCACTCCCACCAACAATATGCATTGTTCTTGAAGACACAGACCACCAAGTAAAAGGCAATCATATCCTCATCATCAATATGTTTAATAAAATGTTTTTAAAAATTCAATATTTTTCCTTTGTGTGAGTGGGAGAAGTATAGGGATGTAAAACTTGACAAAATTAAAGTTCTCCAAACTCATCACAGATCCTCCTTAAGGAGGTGAAGTTGGCTAAAGGCTATAGCTCTTAGAAATCAGTCAGATCAAAGGGCTTTCATGGAAAGATGGAGACTAGAACCAAGTATTGTAATTTTGACATTTATTAAGAAAGTATTTTTCATTAGTAGCCATTTCTGACACTTTCCAAATATTACAGTAAAATTCTGCCTTAACACACAGGCAGGAGTAAAAATTCAATTATTTAAAATGCAGTGTTCCATTTTTGCAGTTAACCAGTAACAGTATCAGTTTGCAATGTCATTTAAAGTGCACATACGTACNTTAAAATGCAGTGTTTCGTTTTTGCAGTTAACCAGGAACAGTATCAGTTTGCAGTCATTTAAAGTGCACATACGTACATACTAACACAGACACACACAGAGCGAAATTTAAACTGATAGTATACAGAAAGAGACCAAATGGTAANGTAAAATGCAGTGTTCCATTTTTGCAGTTAACCAGTAACAGTATCAGTTTGCAATCTCATTTAAAGTGCACATACGTACATACTAACACAGACACACACACAGAGCGAAATTTAAACTGATAGTATACAGAAAGAGACCAAATGGTAAGACATTCAGCTCATCCCTGCTTAAGATGGCATATAAGATGGAAACCAATCCTAACAGGGTTACAACCAAATTCATGTCATTTCAGACTGCAATACTGCTTGATGTTCCACGTTTCAAATACCTGAAGTGATTATATTAAGGTTACTTGCAGCCCTCCAAATACATGTTTTCTGGTGGGGGAAAATGAGCTTAATAAAAATTTTAATACACATTTTGTCATTTGGCAAAAAGTACTGAGCACCTATGTCGAGTCGGGCAATGTCATGGCTTTATAGACAGCAATGAATGAAGCTCCTCCCCTTCAGGTTCCCTTCCAGTAGGTATGGATTTGCGCATGCTCATCACTGGACTTTTGCTAAATTCCTGACCATACTTATCTTTTATAAGCCCTAGTGCAATTAGTTAAAGTCATGTGCAATGACTGATGCTACATTTCAGACAAAATCCCTNCGCATGCTCATCACTGGACTTTTGCTAAATTCCTGACCATACTCATCTTTTATGAGCCCTAGTGCAACTAGTTAAAGTCATGTGCAATGACTGATGCTACATTTCAGACAAAATCCCTTATGAAGCCTCTCATTAGATGTCTGCTGTGTGGTNTTATGAAACCTCTCATTAGATGTCTGCTGTGTGGTCTCCTATTGTGAATGTTGGGGTTGGGTTGAAACATCACATTTTCATTAAAGAAATTCTTTTTCTAATATAAGAACTCTAGTAAATGGAAAAATTCAGCTTCCATTTGAGGACTTCAAAACAAAAGAAAATACCATTTTATAGGAATTCATTTCTGTATGGGTTATCTGATGAAGGATAATCCTTACCATACTCACTTCTATAAAATGTGTCACTATGGACTCTTTGATGATTTAGAAGACCTGANCACTATGGACTCTTTGATGAATTAGAAGACCTGAGCTCCAACGAAAACCTTTACCACATGCATCACATTTGTATGGTTTTTCTCCTGTGTGGACTCTCTGGTGAGCCTGAAGATTTGACCTCTGACTGAAGCCCTTTCCACACACCTCACATTTATATGGTTTTTCCCCAGTGTGGACTCTGTGATGGGCTTGAAGACTTGAAAACCCACTGAAACCCTTACCACACTGTTCACATTTATAGGGCCTCCCTTCTGTGTGGACCCTCTGATGTGCTTGAAGGCGTGAACTCTCACTGAAGCGCTTTGTGCACACCTCACATTTGTATGGTTTCCCTCCTGTGTGGACCCTCCGATGTGCTTCAAGGCGTGAACTCTGACTAAAGCCCTTCCCACACATCTCACATTTATATGGTTTCACTCTAGTGTGGACTCTCTGATGACCCTGAAGATATGCTCTCTGACTGAAGCCCTTCCCACATACCTCACATATGTATGGTCTCTCTCCAGTGTGGACACTCTGATGGCTTTGAAGGTATGATCTCTGACTGAAGCTCTTACCACACTCATCACACTGGTATGGCTTCTCTCCTGTGTGAACTCTCTGATGGGCCAAAAGAGTTGAGGCTTTACTGAAGCCCTTATCACACTCTCCACATTNCCTAGTGAAGCCCTTATCACACTCTCCACATTTATAGGGTTTCTCTCCTGTGTGAACCCTCTGATGAATTTGAAGATTAAAGTTCCAACTGAATCCTTTCCCACATTCCTCACATTTGTAGGGTTTTTCTCCAGTGTGGAGACTCTGATGGCCTTGAAGGTGTGAACTCCGACTGAAGCCCTTCCCACACTCCTCACACTTATATGGTTTTTCTCCAGTGTGGACACTCTGATGGGCCTGAAGGCATGAACTCCGACTGAATCCCTTATCACACTCCTCACATTTATAAGGTTTCTCTCCTGTGTGGACTCTCTGATGGACATTAAAAACTGACCTATGACTGAAGCCTTTACCACAAGCATTGCATTTGTATGGCTTCTCTCCAGTGCGGATTCTCTGATGATCTTTAAGTTTTGAACTCCAATTGAAGCCATTCCCACACGCCTTATAGGGTTTCTCTCCAATGTGAGTTTTCTGATGGCCTTGAAGATATGAATTTTGGCTGAAGCTGTTACCACATGAATGTTTATATGGCTGTTCCCTAGGATGGACTATCCGAAGGTCCTGAAAACATGAGGGCAGACTGAAGCCATTAGCACATTCCTCAGAATTATAGGGACTCTCTTCTATGTGAACTCTATGCTGAATGTTAAGATTTGAGCTACAAATGAAACCTTTTTCACATTCCACATCTGTGTACAGCTTCTCTTCAGTGTGGATTTTCTGATGAACTTGCGGACAAGAACTCCTAAGGACACTCCCATTCTCCTTATATTCATGGGGTTCCTTCCCAGTACTAACTCTAATACCACTGAGGTCTAACCTCTGACTGAAGGTTTCTTTATAACTATAGGATGTCTCTCCTGTATGAATAGGTCCACACATGTGAAGGGAGGAGCACCGGTTCAAGTTGTCGCCATATGAACATTTACACGGCTTCTCTTCTGTACGTTTTCCCTGATGGGACCGCAGATGTGAACTCTCAAAAGCACACTCTCCTCCAGGAACACAATGAATATGCAGAACTGAATTACATCTACAGCCCTTTCCACATGGACTGTATGTGTGCGGCTTTCCTCCTAAGTCTAACTGCTGATGAACCTCAGAGCTGAAATCAACATTGGTGGCTTTTCTGCACTCAATACAGGCATAGGGGGTTGGTTCTGTTTGAATTAAGTCTTGATTATGTGGTGACACCTTCATAATGTCTTCTCCACAGTCATGGCAGCTGTGGGTTTCTTCTGTTCTGTGTACTCTCAGATTATCATTGTGATGTGAGATCCAACCGATGCTGTCACACTTACAGAAATTATTCTTCGTGGAAATTGGTTGACATCTACACTGATAATTATGTGACTCTATCAGATACATTTTCCTCCACGAATGCTGGGCTCTCCAAGATGCAAATTCCTTATGTTTTATGTAATTGGGACCATCCCCTACAGGAGTCAATATATAATTCCCATCTTCAGAAATCTGAACTGGTATTCCTGTCCAAACCTGGCAGGGGGAATCACCTTGTTTTTGCATCTTAGAAATACTCCTTTGAAAGTTTTTCATGGAATCTTGACACCTGGCTAACCCACCTGCACCTTGCTGCCAGGTCTGCCAGGAGGAAAGCTCTTTGGGAGAAATGTTGCTTAATCCCGCTTCTTGAATATTCTCCACATTATGATGGTTCTTGGTTCCTATAAGGATAGAGAGAATTTAGACACGTACACAGTGAATGCCTTTGTTCAGACTTCAAGCTTTTGCACTTAGGTTATGACATGCAACTTCAGTGAACTAGAGGAATATTCATGTGATTACCTCTAAAATACTTAGGAAATGGCTCTTCTTTGGCTATCTCAGGAGTATAAGTAGAATTGCCATCACTGGGGCTATCTGCATGCTTCAAAATCAGGGCTTTGAAACACAAGCTGGATCCTGAACGTGGCAGCCCTGTTCAAAGGTTTAGTAAAACCATAGACATTATCATGGGCTGCCTGGAGATGCCGAGGAAAAAACAGAAGGGAATGGTCTCAAATGGGAAAGAATATTGTTTCAAATGGACAAATGCTTTTTGTCCTCATAAAAACTTTTTTTTTTTTCTCTGGCATATGGGCATGGTAATGTTTTAGTCTGTTTGTCTGTATACCTACTAGCTAGCTATCTCAGGGAGGACTGGTGACAGCGAAGACCATGCCTCTGTTAACTCATTCATTCATTGAAGGCAGAGGGAAAGTCAAGCCAAGGAACCTGTAGCAGAGGCATAAACGACAGGTCTTCTGGGTAGCAGTGGGACAGTAAAGCTAAAACAGAGTGGGCAAACAAACAATAGTAAGAAACTGTGCAAAGCTAGACAGTGCTCAGGGCACAGACCCCTTAAGGCCTACTAGGCACTGTAAGTACTTTAGGTTTTACCGTGTGCGAAACGGAAAGCCTTCAGAGTTGAAACAGAGATGTGGTATGTTCTGACTTGTTCTAGGAGGGGCTGTTTGGCTGCTGGGTTATTGCTGGATGCTTCTCACCTGAACACCCATCTCCCTGGGTTTCTGTCTGCATCATCAAACGTTTTTCTTCTCTCTCCAGCTGGAATATAAGGTCCGGTTTGAAGGGCTGTGTCCCTGTAAAAGCAAAATTTTTAAGTTTTGAAGAAGTCCAATTTATCATTTTCTTTTCTGAGTCATGATTTTGGTGTCCTATCTGAGAATCCTTTGAAGGTCATGATTTTTTCCTGTCTTTCCTTCTAGAAGTTTCACACTTTTAGATTTACATTAGATCTCTTATCTATTTTGAGTTACTTTTTTTTAATGAGTGCATAAGTAAGTGAGACAATAAATCGATGCCTCTCTCTCTCCCCCCCTCCCTCCTTCCTCTCTTTAAATAAATAAATAAGTTTCAGAATTGCTTCTTCCATATATCACTATAAAAACAAACCCACTGAGAACCGTTCAGGACTACAATTCATTCTTGCCTCCCCCTCCCACTGTACCTAAAACTAAGGGTATACAGTTATCTACTGTGCTCCTTAGCTCCTTCCACAGGTTCTTTCTTTTCTCTTCAGTATGGTTACGTTATTAATTTCAAATACAACTGAGTCCATTTGTTTCATTTCTCTTTTAGCTGTAGATTACAATCCCTTTGCATTCTACTTTAATTTTGATAATGTGTTGAACTAACATATTTTCTAAGGTCCCAACTAGATAAAAAGGTATCCTCAAAGAGGTGTGACTCTCTTCCACATTCCTTCTGCACTGTTACTTCCACCCCCTATGAAAACTACCTTTATTATTTTTTTGGTTAATCCTTTTGTGTTTCTTCTTATAAAGATAAGCAGAGATACATATAGTTACTTATTTCTCCTTCTTTCTTACAGAAATTACAGCATGCTATTAATGCTCTCTCTTTTTTCTTTTAAGGCCCTACTAAAGCAAGGCCTCAAAAAACTGAGTATAAACTTAGAATTGTTCCTCTCCATGGAAATCTTTTGTAAAATGCGAAAGATTCATTGCAATCTGAAGAGAAACCAGAGTATTCTTAATGCTCTCTTGTACTCTGCTATCTTTAGGAAAAGTTCCTAGAAGTGAATTGCTAGGAAAGGGTTAAGCAAATAGTCGTCTTCTTTTCTTCCTGTGAATCCTCCAAGGAGAGTTTTTCCATTGATTCTTTTTTTAGAGAAAGTGGAAAGGAGGAGGAGGGGAGGAGAGGGAGGGAGGGAGAGACACAGAGATTGGCTGCCTCCATCACGTGCCAGGTCGGGGATGGAACCTGCAACCACATACATGCCGCTGACTGGGGATCAAACCTTCGACCCGTCGGTGCATGGGCTGATGCTCCAAGCTCTGAGCACCACCCGCCAGGGCAGGCGAATACACAGTTTTGTTAGATACTGTCAAATTCTCCTCCTTTGTGGTTGTATCATTTTTGCATTCCTAATTTTAATGTATTAAAGTGTTTTATTTCCCACAGCTTTGCCCAAAAAAAGTTCTAAATTTTTGCCAATCTCATGGGTCAGAAACAGTATTTCAAGTATAATTTTAATCAATATCTCTCTTATTTTGAATAAAACGGAACATCTACTCATATGTATATATTCACATGCAGTTGTGTATGTGTATGTATATGAACACGTGTGTGCATGTACATACACACACACCCCTGCCTCCTAGCTCCATTCCCTGAGACTAAGAAACAAAAGCATCACTGGCAATGACAATACTTAACATCCAGACCTTGGAGTGAAGTACCATTCCCTAATAAAAGAAATGGATGATTCCAGAGCTGAGGGAAAGGAAAAGGTGAGCATAAGGTAAGGAAGTGTTAAAAAAACCTGTTGGGGCATATTACAAGGGCACAGCGATACATTATAAGCCATAGTTAAAAAAAGATTTCACAGACCCTTACAGATACCAAATAAATGGATGGGGCGGGGGGTCCTGCTTACTGTAGAATGTCCCATGCTGACTGCTAAATTTGAGGGAAGCACTACATCAGAAAATCATCAGTTTGTAACTATCGTGGTAAAGACTGAAAAGGCAGGAATCATCATCAGATGCTAAATATCTGTGTGGTCTTAGAGAGTGTTGCCCTTATGACTGCTAGAGGAAAATCAGCAGTAATTTCACAGTGGAGAAATTGGACAACATCTTGACTGGGTGAGCAAGGTGAACATCACCCACGGGGGACAGACGGTGTGCCTCTAGATGGGGTCCCAATCCGAGCGCCAGCCAGAAAGGATCATCTGGACCTAATTATGAGGGTGTATTAGGAATGTCCTATTAAAGCCAGGGGACAGGGAACAAACAGTATTCTTCAAAAATGTCACTGTCATAAAAAATAAAGAAATGCTGTGGAAATGTTCCTAATTAAAGGAGTCAAGGAGACATGACAGCGAGACTAGATTCTAGACTAGATCTTGCTCTGGGGGGACAAAAATATGCTATAAGGACTAGAATGGGCTCTGCTGATGAAATTAGAGCACAAATGATAACAGTGGAAAAAAGTATTATATCTGCACGAGGGATATGCAGGAAAACATTCTTACTTCTACAAAATACACTGTTCAGTAAAGAATTAACCTTGCCCAGCCCAGCCGGTGTTGCTCAGCGGTTGAGCATCCACCCAGGAACCAAGAGGTCACCGTTCGATTCCCCGTCAGGGCATATGCCCGGGTTTTGGGCTCGATCCCCAGTAGGGGGCATGCAGGAGGCAGCCCATTGATGATGTTTCTCTCTCACCAATGTTTCTTTCTCTCTCTCCTTTTCCCTTCCTCTCTCTAAAAAATCAATAAAAACATATTTTTTAAAAAAAGAATTAACTTTGCCCAATGAGACGTATGGTCTTTGCCCTCCGCTCTCAGGAGGTGATCTCGAAGGCCCCAGAATGTCCTACTTGATAAGAGTGTCTTTCTTACCCAGAGGCCTTGGGCCAGACCAGACAGTTTAACAGTGTGATTTATGGTGACGGCTTTGGGCCACCTGATACCAGCTTGATTTCCAGAGGGGCTGGAAACTAAGGTTAGCCACATAGGTGTCCAACCGCACCTACATGACCAAGCTCCCAAAAAACTCTGGACACCAAGGCTCGGAGGTAATACACCATGTGTACTGTCACACATCATTGCCGGGAAGAGTTAGTGCTGTCGCCCTTGGGCGTGGCTCAGCGGTTGAGCATCGAACTAGGATCCAGGAGATCACAGTTCGATTCCCGGTCAGGGCACATGCCCGGGTTGTGGGCTATATCCCCAGTCGGGGGCGTGGAGGCAGCCGACCAATGACTCTCTCATCATTGATGTTTTTCCCTCTCCCTCTCTCCCTCTGAAATCAATAAAGATATATTAAAAAAAAAGAGTTAGTGCTGTCCACGACTCCACTGGAAGAAAACTGGAAGCCTGTGCTGGAGACACTCCTAGACTCTGCCCCAGGCGTCTCCTCCCTTGGCTGCTTTTAACCTATTTCATGCCCATCTAATAAAGTGTAACCACGAGTATAACAGCTTTCAGTGAGTTCTGAGAGTCTTCCAGCTAATTATCAAGCCTCGGGGTACTATTGGGGACCCCTGAACTTGCAATTGGTGTCTGAAAGAGTGCAGTCTTGGGGATTCCCAAACCCATTTACACTGAAGTATTTGGAGGTAAAGGGAGATGGTATATGTAAGTTACCTGCAAATTGCTCAGGAAAAAAATATTATGAATATGCGTACATTTTNCTCAGGAAAAAAATATTATGAATATGCGTACATTTTCATAATATACAAAAATTATCTGGAGAAAGAACATGCGTATAAATGACAAAGCAAGGGGGTAAAATGTCATTACAGGGGGACTTGG